TGGTGTTTGTAGCTCTTTCTCTATGAATAATGAATAAATAGAGGTGTTTCTCAAAAAAACATAGCCAGCGTTGGACTAGAGACTTGTCAATGCGCTTCATATTGTTCTCAAAATATGACTCATAATAGCTCGATTAGTTCATCGATTTAATGCAAGTACTCTTTTCTTCACCTTAATTAGCCATGGTACTCGACGCTCAAACCATCGCTTGCCCTTCACCTTCTCTTAGTATCTGGAAGTTATTTCCTTGCTATCTTCACTCTATCAAGCCATCCTCAAATCACATATTCTTTTGAATCAACATTAAGCCAAAATTGAAATCCATTTCATCAAAAAATTATTCTTGCTTGAATATTTGTGAGAATATCCATCTTTTTTCTTCCTTGATTTGATTCAACAAACTCTTTGAATGAGACCAATTCATAGGCATTACCTAATGTCTCATTATATTTGAGAATTGTGTTTGCCTTTGATTCAATATGAAATTCCAAGTCAATCATTAATCATGTCTAAGTTATATTTAAACGAGGATTATCCATTGCAACGTTTGACTTGGCTTGTCTTAACTTAGTTCAATGATATTCCATAATATAAATGCATGCCAACACAATTATACTATATATATTCATAAGTCCATGTCTCTTTTTCTTCACACATTTTGGCTTGCCATATCTTCACAAGTACAAACATTTACATGTCAAAAAATTTCTCCATCTATCCCAAAGTAAATCAACTTCTAGAGTTGTCCTAAGTCTCGTAGGGGTAGGATTTACGTACGTGCATTCATAGGGGTAAGTGTGCGTGCGTTATGAGTGTTTATGTTGTACTGTGTAATCGCAAAAAAACTATTTTAAGTATGACCAAATTTATAGAAAATGGCACATATTTTTATGATGCCAAATTAGTATCACTAAATACATCATTAGGTATATTTTTATATTGTACTTATGGTGTCATAGATGTTGTTACATTTCATATAATATTTATTAAACTTAAGATAGTTTGACTTTAGATGATTTTAGAAATTAACTTATTTTTGGTTGGAGGGAATACCGAATTGCCAATCAGGGTCGTGGTGAGTTTGGCAGTAAAAGTATACAGTATGTTGGGCTTTTACCAAAACAGTTAACAAACTGTGCAGGGCTGGGGAAAAAGTTCATATTACCTCCTTTAACTTTTGCGAAAGTCTACTTTTCTTCCCTGAACTCTAAAACCGGGTAAACCACCTCCCTAAACTTTTAAAACCGTTCGTTGTACCTCCCTAGCCAATTATAAGCAGTTTCCAAAGGCGGTTTTATCTTTTTCTTTTTTATTTATTTTGACTAAATCTTTAAAAAAATCATAGTAAATCACAGAAAAACCATAAAATAGAAAATCTAATTTTGTTGGACTCCACGTGAGTAGATCTACACATTGAACATATAATATGTATGCTTTAGTATAATTTTTTTTTTTGTAGCTTTAGATCTATGTTTTCTATAATTAATTCATAGCTGCAGTTTCTATGGTCCAATTGTTGTGAAATTTTTATGATGGGCTAATTATTGTATACTTGAACTGTTGTAAAAAAATCATACTTATTGGATCATGTATAACTTATTATAATTTATTTATAAATCTATAACTAACTTATACATGATACAATGAGTATGCAATATTTACTGCAGTTCAACATACAATAATTAGCACATCATAAAAATTTCACCACAATTGAACCATAAGCTAGAAACTGCAATCAATTAAAAACATAATTCAATAAACAGCAATTAAAGCATACCATATATATGTTTAATAGATAGATCTACTCACCAACAATTGGACCATTTTATGATTTACTATGATTTACTATGAATTAATTATCGAAATAAAAAGAAAAAAAACTGCCTTTTGAAAACCGTTATAACCGATCAAGGAGGTAAAAGCGAACGGTTTTAAAAGTTTAGTAAAATCCGGTATTAAAGCAAACCATTTATTATATGTTTATTGGGAGGCCCAGGGAAGGAGGCACTTGGACAGTCGCGCCTCTGGGAGGCCTAGGAAGGCTGAATCTGAGCATCGACCTGATCTCCAATACAAGCAAATTCCTTTTCTTACTGCAGATTCAAAAAAAATCCTTTCTTACTGCAAAGGAAGACGTCTATGCTTGTGCGGTTGTGCCTCTTGCTCTGGCGCAAATTCAACCAAAATAAAAATTGTAAAAAAACTTTGAAAAGAACTTAAAATGTTACTTCCTCGAAATCTATCCGTTAACAGTCCAAAACATGCCACGCCTGCGCTAACCACCGTGGATCTTCCTTGCAGGATCTTCAAACGCACACACACATGCGTGCTAACAGGTGCATGCACCATGCGATTTTAAACATTGTTTCCGGAGACCACGTCCGGCGCCTGGTTGATCCTCCTCCGGCTTTTCTCCGGCGGCGTGCGTCTCCTCCGGCTTCGACAGAACTGGGCGTCGCGATTAGGTATACGTTGGCTTCCTCTCCTCCTGCCTGCCGTCTAAAATTGAATGGCGGTCGTAAAGATAATCTGTGCTGCAACTGCTAGCTTCTTCCATTTAGCATGTCGTGAACACGCTTTTCCCGGGACTTGACTCTGGCCCTGTATCGTGTACAAGGAGGCCCAGGCCAGTAACCGGAGGCACTTGGACAGTCGCGTCGCTCTGGGAGGCCTAGGAAGGGCAGGTGCAGATCACCTGCGCGATGGCGGTCTCGCTCCCTCCCGGCCAGCACGGCGCGCCGGCCCCACGTGTCGTTGAACCTGAGCAACTCCACCATCCACCCCCGCAGCGGCAAGTGGTCGTCCACCACGCGCGACCTCGACCTTGCACTCCCAGCCATTGCTGTGGTTCTCACGGTACATGGTCTGCATGGCCAATCTGAGCATCGACTGCTCCGATCTCCGCTACAACGTTCAAATTCCTTTCCGCGTCTTGACTGCAGATTCAAAAAAACAAGCTTGATGGCCTTTCCCTCTACCCGCAAGCAGGCGCTTGGCCTCCAGACGTCTATGCGGCTGTGCACCGCATGGCGCTGAGCCGCAAAGCGGAGGAACACGTTGTGGGTCGCGACTCGCCGGCGTCAGCGGCGGCCGTGAGGACCGGCAGGAGGCAGAACTCCACCTCCTGCACGACGATCCCGAATGCAAGCTAGGGCGGCAGAGAAGGTCCCCGAGCAGCAGGATGTCAGCTCCTAAGCGCATGCGTGGCGTGTTCTGGACCGTTAGTTCGAACTAATTAGCTTGTTCTTTGAGGACAAAATATAATTATAAAAAGTTTAAGAATCTCTTTATATTTACTCTTCGAACTAATTAGCTTGTTCTAGACAACATATATTTTGATAAGAAGAGTATAAATGAACGGAACTAGCAAACACACACGTGTTTCAAAAGAGATCTTTTACAATGGTTTGGTACCTTCAGGTTTCTTCATCTTTTTCTATTTTCTAAATAATTAATTGAAAAATATATTATAGAGGGTATCTTAGCAATTGCGGCTGTAAGTGGGCTGGCCCATTCGACCATGGTCACTGGAACAGTTTGGGCTGATCATATTGGTCATACCTGGCTTGCTCCGGCTCCCTATTATGGTTGAGCCGGTATTGTCGGCCCTTTTAGCCTTCATCATATTTTTTGTCATTACTAGAGGAGTGCCCGTGCCAAAAATTTGTACGTGATATTTGGTAGCCAAGTCAAAATCAATGGCATGCAGCAAACTAATACGATCATGAGAAATCGAAATTTTGTTATGCTAGACTGCAGATTGTGAGAAATCAAAAAATTGTGAGAAAGTTAATTCTAGACAGCATATTCGTGTTCCTGTCTCTAGTACACATTTTCTACGTCCTCTCTTGCCTTCTGTGATTAGTTAACACAATTATAAGAGCATTTGTAATATGAGGAGACAATTGCTGCCAAAGGGCTCCGCTCTGCGCCGCTCTATCTGGGAATTGCTCCCGCGACTCTGCCCAAAATACACTGCGAGTGAGGAGCGAAAAAAAAACGTTCCCCACCGCTCCCCGCTGCTCCCTCGCCTTCCCTACGTGGTCACGAGCGTCCTCCCCTTGAGCTGGCCTTCCCGCCTCCGTCGCGCCGCCTCTCGACCTTCCTCTGCCTCCGCCACGCCCTCCTTCACTGCCGGAGTGCCATCCTTCGCTGCCATCGTTGACGCCGTGACCTTAGAGGCTGTGGTCGCACCCATCCTTCACCTCCGAGTCCGTGCCCAGCGTTTCCGTTGCCTCCAAGCCTGTGTGCCTCCGTCGCTGTGGCCTCCGAGCCCGCAATCGCTAAGATCTAGCTCGTCATCTTCTTCCTCTGCAGGATTGGGAGCTGAAGTTGTTGCGAGAGCTCTAATAAACGGTTGGGCTTCGAGCTAGGAGCGTGAGGGAGCAGGAGCTGGAGCAGGTGGGAGTGGGTTGGGAGTCCTACCAAAGGGGACCTTATACTCCGCGGAAGCGATATGTTATGTAAGAGTAGGCGTGAAATTAAAAAATGTGATAATTTTTTTTCAAATTTAGAACTGTAAAAATTTCATGTCATGTGTACACTAATTTTATAAAAAATGAAAAATTGCTTGGTTTCACAAAAAGGCCCAAAAGTCCAGCACCATCAATACGTGGGCCTACCAAACCCTTGTATCAAGGCCCAACAATCACTAGTAATCAGGGTGCATCAGTCTATCACGGTGAGTCACCAGTAATCACGGAGAATCACGTCCTAGCCGACTCTGCGGTTCCTTCTGTCACCTTCCCTTGAATGACAGTACTTAATATGTGTGCTGCCGTGAAGCCACGATCGGCACCACTGTACCAGGCTCACTCTTTTGGAGGTTTTCCCTTAATGATAGTACTAGAATGACTGATTTACCCTTATACAAAAAATAAATTTAAAATGAAAAATAGATCTTGCATCACGTATCTGTACTAAAAGGAGCAATAGACAAAAGACGCTAGAGCCGTGCCGGTGCCGCAAAATGATGTGCTGCCATTATATCTGCTAACTTGCTAAGCTTTGCTTCCGAACATCAGGTATCCCAGAAGTGAAGCTAACAAGAAGACAAGCAGCACAAACGTCGCTGAGAAGCCGCCAGCAGATGCCTTTGTTTTCCGGAGGAGATCCTGAAAAGGAACCCCTTCGACCGTTAGTGATCAGAAACCAAAGCTGGAAACAGCAAACAGAGTTGGAGAATGACTTTTTTTTTTAACACCGAGGTTGGAGGACTTCTGGTCATAGAAAGCTATGCTGGCAAACAGCGACAGACAAAAGCAATAGAGGCTATGACTTCATCTCATCTTGCATTATATTATCTTTTGTAGAATGATCATTCTCCAAACATCCAAAGTATCTCGTTGAACTTGGTGGTCTGCTTAATGTAATTTAACCAGCTTCATTTATCAGGATGATAAAAACATATTGCTCATTTATTTCCTAAATGTTTAAATGTTTCTTTTTCTAAAAGGATTAATAAAACTGTAAAGCGTCAAAAATATTATGGAACTCATAAAACTATCACATAAGAGTAAAAGGGAAAGATTCAAATTACTCTCCTCAAGTTTGTTTCTGATGTCTAGATAACCCCTAAACTAATGTTTGATTTGATTTACTCCCCAAACTATCCCAACTTGGTCCAATTTACCCATTTGATTTTTTTCTCCATGTACAAGTGAAATTTTAATTTCAAATTATGTGAGGTGACAAACATCATAGTTTATGTTAAAAAAAATACATCACAACTTTTTTATCATTATTTTGATAGTTTTTTTTCGACAAAACATTATTTTGATAGTTGAGGATATCAAATAATAGTAAATTAACACTAGAAATACAAAATTGTATGAAACATAATGATGGAAAACCCAAAATGTATTTTTAGCATAAATTGTAATGTCCGCTATCACCTCACAAAATTTGTAATTAAAACTCAACTTGTAAGTGTAGAAACCAAAAAGAAACAAGTCTTGTTAAGGGATAAATTGGACAGAGTGAAATAGTTGGGGGAGTAAATCGAACCAAATGTTAAAGGGTTATCTAGATAAAGGACAAACTTGTGTAACTTGAGCTTTTCCAAAAATATAAAAAGGGTTACTTAAGAAAAATAATGTAAATATGAAATAATAAAGCGACTAGTCTCCTCAATACTTTTATTTCTAGAAAATAGAGAGAGAAACACATCAGAAGAAAAAGGTCTTACCAGCTCTTTCTGAATCTTCTTGTTTTCCTCTGCATATCTACTTTCCAATTCTAACTTGGATACAGAGTCATCCTGAAAAGGTCCTGTCAGCTCTTTCTGAATCTTCTTGTTTTCCTCTGCATATCTACTTTCCAGTTCTAACTTGGATGCAGAGTCATCCTGAAGAGTCACAAAACAATCAATGACATGTCAGGGATAAAGTGAATGTTCAGGGCAGACAGTATACAATATTTTGAAATTCTAACATCCTGGACTAGTGGTGCCGATAATCATGGTGGAATTAATATAAGGAATCAAATTTCTCAATTGTCAAATGTCATTCTGATACAATAACAATTGTAAAGAGAAAGGTATTCACATTACAAAGCATGTTAGTCTTCTTATGGTATAGTTTTTTTTCCTGCCCTCTTCTTTTGTTTTTGGGTTGAGTGAGGGGGTGAAGATATTATGATAGAATTTCATGAAAACGAAACTATTCAGTGCAAGGATCAAAAAAGAAGAAAGAACTGTTGACGAATTTTTAGAGCTTATATGAATCTTAGAGAACCCAAAGACAAACGATATTTAGGTGGAACTAGAGTCACCTCATCATCTGAAGCTTGTGGTCTACATGTATGCCCTTGTCCTGTTGCCTGAAAAACAATGGAAGACACCGATCATATTACACTAGGAACGAACATGAGATCATTTGCTCACAAGCAGTAAGGTTATTTAGTACTTACAGAGTTGGACGTCGATGGTCTCCCCACTTCATGGTCCACATCTGAATCAAGAGATCCATCCTCTTCCTCTGTTTCCTCAGGCACTGGTGAGGGAGGATTGGCAGGGACATAGACCACCCTCACCTTGAACTCCTCAACTAACTTGCCTGGTGCTTTACTGAACTACAAGCCACAACGTTAGCGTTACACGATACTCTTTGACTGTAAAAATAAGCAATGCACAGTGCCACTGAGACTCCATAAACTCGAGTTCTGAAAGAATTTACCATGCCAGGGACAATGTCCTTCTGCGTCGTCCCCTCCTCCGCGGCAATGCTCTGAACAAGAAACTTGTCCTTGCAGTGGTAATCCGGGGGGATCTCCTTGGGCGCTTGCATCGTAACTACAACAATTTCAGCATAGCAATGAGAACGATCGATCAACCATACGACAAAGAAACACAAAGCATACGGGCGAAGCAGACGCACTTGTGATGCTGCAGGATCCCCTGGGCGGAACGACACCGGAGGCAGGCCGCACCGCGTACTTCCTTGGGTTCGTCGTCTTGACCTGCAGATTCGGCGAGATATACAGGGAAAATAAAAAATCAATCGCTTTAGCCTGACTCCGATGCACAAGATTGCATCTTTCACCAAAACGAAATTCATCAAATTTGTCACCTTGAAAGCCACCCACTGATCGGTCTTGTTGATGAGCTCAAGACATGCTGAATTGTGCTTCTTAGGCTCGACTGCTCACGGCGTCAAACACAGAGGACCCGATCAGTCTGATATGCCCAAAGCACAGGCAACAAGAAACACGACGAACCAGGATAAGTATATAGGCACTTACATGGCATCTTCAAGTCGGAAGGGTGGACCCGAAGCAGCGTGTTACTCATGGCGGCGATCAAGAAACAAGGATCAGGAGGGGAAATTGAGTGCCCCGCTTTCTCTATCCTTTCCTCTCGACAACCAAGAATCTGGAAGATCCAATCCAAGAACCCGAAAACTGATGAAATATCCAAGACGGGGGCCCCCGCGACGTTTCCTGCTCCCGGAAGCAAAACTATCGGGACACGAGAGAGACAAATTAAGGCTAGGTTATGACGAGTACGGTTGGCAGCACAGGGCCGAGGGCTCGCTCGGTCCTTTCAGTAGAGGGAAGAAGAAGAACCGAATCGGAGGATGAGATGGGCTCGGACTCTGGAGGAGGTTGGAGTTTAGGTTGGCATAAACTAAGGTATAGGAGGCCGAGTAATGATTGGCTGCGGGCTGCGGGCTGCGGGCTGCGGCGGTGGCGCCGTCCGTGCTAATCCGGGTCTCCCCACTGCAATCCTTTCGCCGTTTCGCTCGTTGGTTGGCAGAAGTGGTTGGATTCGGGCAACCCTCCCCAAGTCCGCGAGCACCGCCCGTTGCCAGTTAGGATCGTCTGGTGATCGCGCCGCCCACCCTGGCGGACGTGTTGCCTTGCCCTAGCGTGTTGCCTTGTCCTTGCGGCCGTCGACGAAAACGAGACACCAGAATACCAGAATGAAGTTTCATCAGTAAACCTTTTACCGTAAACTGCAAAAAGGTCAGCTCCCACTGTTGGATGGGGATCTCTCATCTTTTTGTGAGCCTGACGGTGCCTGGCCAGGCCTCTGCAGGCGCCACAGTGAACTTTGACAGAGTTTTGCTGTCCACCTCATCTGAGGATCGGTCGTTTTACCTGAAAGTCTGTGTCTCCGCATTGCTGTCGGTAAGCGTTCGTTAGAATGATGATTCAGACGCCAGAAACTTGCTGCCCTTCTCAAATGCGTCCCACGATCTAACAGGATTGAAGATATTATTAGATGCACTGTTGTTGCTGCATTATTGGAGGTCTCGCAAACAATGATTCTAAATTTCGTAGCAGTCTTTTCCTTCACTCCCAGCTCTCTTGCCAGCGATGGCGTTCAATTCCCATGTCCTACTCTGATACCCCATTTGAAATAAAAAAATGATTTAACCATGTTGATTTAGTTTGCATCTTCAAAATCAACAAGCGGTTCAATTCCCATGTCCCGTTTTTTTGTGCTGATTACACAGTGATCTACTTCAACTTTAACAGTTCCTGGGGCGCCCTCGCCTGAGAGCAGCACTCCTCATATACATCCTTAGCACTAGTTTGATAACTACTACAAATCAAACTAACAGCGAGTGTATCACAGTCATCTTGTTTATGGGTGCATCTAAATGAATTATGTGCGTTGCATCTATACACATGACACCTAACCACTGATGCTGGACGTATCCAATGCAGAGCAACCAGTAGTGAAGACTTAAACAGCCTAGTAATGATACTGGATGTCTCCAATACAGAGCAACCAGTAGTGAAGACAAACAACCTAGCAGCAGGTATGTAGCCGCACCTGGAAGTGGAAACAAAATCATCACAGTAACTGAGCATAAGATTATGACTTGCATCAATCCTAGAAAGTAGACACAGCGTGCCTGCTCAGCAAACTTCAATTGCTTACCATATTTTTCTTCTGAAAGACACGTTACAGGCTTTGTATTGAGAACAAAGCAATTACAAGCGCACCACAAGTTTGCGAAAGACCGCCACACTTAATGCCTGAAATGCTTGCCGAAATTGCAACTTCGCAATAACAGACAGCAATCAGCAATGCTGTATCACAGTGTGGCGGATTAGTGGTACTACAATAACAAGGATTAGCATACAAGGAAGGTGCTTTGAGCGCACATGAATCCCAAGAGCAAGTTGCTGAGCCAGGCCTCGAACACGCCGAGGCACGCCCCAGCGACAACGTCGAGGACGTAGTGCCGGCCAAGGAGCACCCTGGACGCCGACGTCGCGGTGGCCCAGAGGAACAGCGCCTCACGGGGACGGAAGCCGCCGGCGGCGAGGAAGGAAGCGACGAGGAAGGCGCGGGAGGAGTGGCCGCTGGGGAAAGACCAGTGGTCGGCGGCGACGGCGACGTACATGTCCTTGGCGTTGTAGGCCGGGCGCGGGCGGCGGACGGCGACCTTGACGAGGCCGACGAGGATGAGGTCCAGCACGAGGCCAGCAACGGGGCCTGCCAGGAGCGGGGAGGCCGCTCCGGACGCGTTGGCGGGAGACGCGGAGAGGAGGAGCAGGGAGATGGGGACGGGCAGCCAGATGCGGCCGTCGCCGGCGACCTCGAACGCCATGAGGAGGAGGCGCGGTACCGGGAGGAAGAGGGCGTGCAAACGGAGGGACGCAGCCGCGTCGAGGCCCCGGACACCGCCTAGGAGGGTGGGCTTTGACGGCGCCGGAGGTGGTGGTTGCGGTTGCCATGTGCGCCGGCAGGGGCGAATGGGGAAGTTTGTCGAGCTGGAACTGGAATCGCAGATCAGGGATTGGCCGAGGGGGAAATCCGACGAAGCAAGATGGTTTCTGTGCGTTCGACCCATTGGGCCTTCTTGCCACTTAGATATTGGGCTCAAAATGGGATTGTTATACGAGAAAAGAAGTCCATTTGACATCCTAGTTTTCGCCGAAGTCTGAATGTCTAATTCACCTCTTCTACTTCGGTACGCCTAACGTCCAGACGTCCGGCGCCGGGACGCATCCGGACTCACCTCTCAAAATAGCACCCTCGTATAGAAACAACACCAACATGCGTGCACGTGTCCACATCCGCAGCCTATCTCCTCCACACCCACATTCTGCCACCGCGCTGCCATCTCAAGCGTGCTCCCTCTGCAAACCCCCCGCTGCGCCATGCAGCGCTGCGCCCATTTCGCGCTGCACGCGGGGCCCGTGCCGCCCGTGCGACAAGAGGGGAAGGGCACGTGACGCCTTCGTTTCAGAAGGACCTGGCCGCAGCATCGTATGGATGCCCTGCCGGCTCCAGGAGACGATGCAGCAAAAAGGTTGGGAGGAGAGATGCAACACCCGATCTACTTTTGAAACATTCAAATACAACAATTGCAGCATACATCTGAAGGCAGTTGAAACACTTAAAAAACACCTGAAACACACTTGAAAACCATGGCAACCATACGCAACATCCAAATAAAACACACATGCAACGTATGTGTGAAACATATGCAACATCCAAATAAACACACTTGCAACATGCGTCCGGAAAACAAAGATGAAACATACCTCTGAAACATTTGAAACACTCAAAACATACACTTGCAACATGCCTCTGAAACAATTGCAACATATGCAACATGTGCAACATTCCCCGATCTACTTTTGCAACATACATATTAAACAAATGCAACATATATCTGAAAACGTTTGAAACACTTGAAACATACATGTGCAACATAGCGAAGGGGAAGGTTGCGCCGGTCGATTTCGGCCGCCGGGGGTTAGCGGCGTTGCTCCGGAGCTTGGCCATCGCCGGTGGTGGCGACAAGGACCGCCGCGACGGCGACGGCACGGGGGCGCGTTTCGCCTTGCAGCCTCGACTCCGTGGTACTCGTCGCGATACCGGTGGTAGTGGTTGACACGGGCGTGAGGAACGGCGGGGACTGTGCGGTCAACCTCGCGGAGCTTGAGCCCGGGGAGAAGGCCTGCGTGCTTGCCGCGGTGCGGCCACCGCTTCCACGTCGATTGCCGGGGTGGGGGAGGAGGGCGCCAGGTTGGGGAAGAGGACGCCGTGGTGGGAGAAGGAGCCGCCGGGTGGGGGAGGAGGACGTCAGGGGTGGGGGAAGGATCCGCCGCCGACCAGGGAAGCAGCGATGGGCGCGTCGTCGGGTGTGGGTCAGGACGTGAAGGGATAAGAATGGGGAGGGGCACAAGCGCTGCGGGAGTGAGCGAGGCGTCCATCTGTTCAGACATCTTAATCTTATTGTTATCGCTTCTAATTGGTTCCCCTAAAAAAAAACTCTTCTAATTGGACCCCCTTGATTGTTGAAACCGTCTAAACGTGCAATGATTTCGAAAGCGGTTTGGTTATAGCAATAAATCAGACTAAGTTATAATAATTCAAAGTACATTAGCACCGTTAGGGCGAAGCTACTCAGTAGCCAGGGGTGCAAATACACCCGCTAAAAAGGTTAGGGCACTCACAATACAGACTCTACTATAGAGTCTAAGTCATTTATTACCTCGAAGATATCATAGACTTGGAGTCTAAATAAGACTTGGAGTCTAGTTTTTTCTCCCTCTCTCTTCAATAAATAGACTGCCACATCAGCAAAGTATAATAAATAGAAGGGTAATAAATAGACTTAGACTCGATAGTAGAGTCTGCATTGTGAGTGCCCTTAGAAAGCAATAATTATAACTAAATTTTCACATATATACATCACTTATAATATAAGTCTATGCATCCACAAGGCAAGTGCATCTCTCTTTAATTCACTCTAGTGGGTACAGTAACGTGGCGTCACGTCAGCTAAAATCACATTCAAATTCACTTAGAGATCAAATTTGGATGGTTTAAAAGTTAGAGGAGGTAAAAAACTATTTTTTTGACGGGAACATCGTCAATCTCGATAATCTACCAGCACAGTGTTCTGGAGATGCTCATAGAGTGCGTAGGGTTTGCATGCATGTGTTGATAGGAGTGAGCTTGCGTTCATTGTGAGCGCTTGTGTTTGTACCGTATAATTTGAAAAAAAAAAAATAAGGAAAAAAACGCTTTTCGATTGCAGGAGAACTTCAAAACTAGTTAGGGAGGCCATATGGATTTTCCCGATGCGTGAACCTGTTCGTATTCGAATTACTGTACTGTGGGCTTCCAGTTCTCAAAATCCTTAGGAGTGTACTTGCCCGTAGTGCGTTTGAGCTCAGAGAAACAGTGACAAAGTTGAGCATATACGAACGTTTGTTGCCATTCTTTCGGGCCTTCAATCCACGTGTGTGTTAAAGTGAACTAAAGTAAAATTAAACTAAATTCTATTTTATTTCACTCCAACCTATATAGATTAAACTAGATACATGTATGCGATCAAGGCTTACGTGGAAGATCCGGAGCAAAGTGGCGGTACAGCGTAGCACTGTGCGTCTGTGGTCTGTGCTGCCTGCGTCTGCCGTCTGCGTGGGCAAGGGCAAAAACGGCCAACGCTGGCATTCTGCATTTCTGCAGAGCATTTGACGGGCCAGGACGAGGCCGCCACAGGATACGGCGGGCACGGGATATCGGCCGCCGGATCGAGAGGTCAGCGACTTTGGCGCGCATGGGGCAGTGGGCGCGGCAGGCAGGCCTCCTCGCGCGCATGGGCCTCTTTTGGCACGGTGGCGCACGCACGGAGAGGACCAGCGGCATGCGGCAGGGCGTGAGCAAGCAAAGGCTGGGCCGTGGTAGCGATGCTTATGCATCGGAACTCACACCCGTCCGTTCAAATCCCCCTCGAACTGGTCTGGGCTGCGAGTATCTAATGGTCGGTGACCGGATTCCGACGCCTAGTTGGGCTTCCCATTACGTACGTTGCTGATCAGTGATCGCTCGTTGATTATGCGCTGATTTGACTTGGTTTGAAATTTAAAACTCATATATACGGACTGCAGTGCAGTACTATCTGAAGCATTTAAACTCGGGTTTGCTGATGAATGATCTCGCGTTGTCCCCCCACATTATCTTAGTTTCACTCTCACAAGCTGATCGGACCAATTCAAATTGCAGCGTACTGTAGTGTTTCTACAACTACTACTAGTATACTCCTATTTTACCACCTCCCTCCTCGTGGGATCAAAATCAAATCAAATTGAATCGACAGAAAGCGCACACGCATGAGCCTTTGACACGCAATCTGGTGCGAATGCGTCGAAAAAGTGCGGTGGCGATATATATCCTCTGCGCGCGAGGGCAAGAAGGTCGCTTTTGGCACCATACCTGCCGGCCTTTAGTTCAAACACGACTAGACGAACGAACCAACCTACGTCAGGGGTATGTACCGTGCCATGCATGCGTACTTTGTTCAGTGAATGAGCCTGCCTGCCCTTTTGTTGACAAACATCCCACAGTTAACCGTAAATCCATCCGCATTTCCGGCGCGACAGAGAGTACGACGTACTACTTCTAGTACCTTGTCTGGCAGGTAATTTGGGCATATATAGGTTGCTATCGAGCCTGTTAGCTAATTGAGCCGTGTGCGCAAGAAAACAAAGTAACCAGAGATGGTCTTGCACCGCACTAGGCCAGCATTTACAATCGGCTAGGCAATTAGTACGGGCTTATGTTAGAGACAGTGGGTATACATCAAATCAAATCAGCTAATGGTTCGTAATTTTGCCCGCTCACTCATATCATTCTGAAGTCATCAACGGGTCATACTTACTTCCAGCCTAACCTGCCAACCTTGCGTGCCAAACCGCACCACTGTTGGATCTTTTCACAAATTACACCACGAACACATGGACGCTTATATGTATACGCATCCGTCTATATGATACTATTTCCGTCCCATAAAAAGTGTCGTGTTTTACTTTTAAATTTTTTGTTTGACCTAAAAGTCAGAAACGGCATTTCAACGGGACGGAGGGAGTGTGTGTCTCTCTCTCTCTCTATATATATATACCCTATTTGTACGAGTACCTAACATTTTAAATTACTAATCTAACGAATCTTAAGATTAACGAAATCATCACGTTCTTCATAGACACGTCGTCTTAGCCCGTTTTTTTTTTGGCCTGCACGCCGCCGGGTGAAAATTGCATCGCCCGCACGGCGCACGCGTCACGCGTGTGACAACCAGCGAAAAGAAACGACGCCATCGGTCGCGACGACAGCAGGAGACGACGACGACGACGTACAACAACCCGCCGTCGAGGTAATTGCATTGCGCCATTGCATTGCATCGTCGTGTACCGGGCGCGGGGGCGCCCGCGTCTCTCTCCAGCAGCAGCAGGCTGCAGGCCAGCAGCTATCGCGGTTCGCCTTCGTTGGATCGAGGGCGCGCACGGCGGTGTCATGGGCCAGCAAGGGCCGAACCGCTTGCCTTGATAGGTGTAGACCCGTCCGAGGATAGTGCTTGAGCATGCGAGTGGCCGAGTGCTATCAAATCAACCGTCGGCGTCAGGTACGTGTTGCGTGGCCGAGAACGATGGCATGTACAACAGTTGCGCGATTGGACGCCCGCTTCACGTGCCGCTTCCATGGCCTCGATCGGTCCTCCTCGTCCCGCTTTTCAGCGGGTGCCCTGCGTGCATGGCGTGACCTCGCGGGTTGGCGTATATAGAATGCCAACGGAATGGAATGTCACGACGGGTAGCATACGACGACCGATCATGCATCATTCTGTGCCAATAATGCCGGTTCGGTTCTAAACATTTGGTATCTGTATTAGGCTTAGCTAGTACCAATGCAATGACATGTGCTTTGGAGGATAGTGCCGGAAAGCTAGGCAGCTACATGAAACATGCAAAGGCAGATGAAAGGCATGTGAGCTAGAACAAGAAGCTAGTAACATGGCGTGATTTTAACGAGTGTTTTTAAGCGTAACTCCAATTAACGTCTCGTATTTTGATGACTAGGATGTATATACACATAGTACTAGCCCTTTTTATTTGGAACCCAAATACAGTACAAATTGATCGCAAGCTTAAATAGTGCTCTGTTCAGCCTTCATCAAATTAATAACAGCCCTAGTTACCCCGAATGCTTTGCATGCAAACAGTACCGAAGAGATCCCTGTGCCAGTCTTTTTAAAGCGTTCAACAGTCAAATACTACTGCAGCCTAAAGCTCTGTTTGCTTAGTGATTTTAGCCAGGGTTTATTAGCCAGCTAATAATATTTTCTTCTCACAACAAATCAGCACCAGTTGAACTTATCAACCCATAAACCGACCAGCGAACTGTCTCCACACCAGGATGCCTACCTATAGAATCGTACATCGACACCAAGCATTGTACTACTTGTTGTAAATAGTAAATTTTACTCTAATCAGGCGAGTTCTCTGTCTGAACACCTCTAACACTGACAACTGCATGCGGTACCTAGCCAGTTGCCAGGATACGCAGGCACTGAAAGGCACAGTCCACAATCAGCGCCATATTAGCTGACCAGCTAAGGCAGTTGTACAGACTGCATGCCGAGCACAACTTAACGCGGACGCAGCTAGCATAGTAACCGCTCTGTTCGCTTAACCATATATACGAACGTGTCCTAGCCTCCACCGTAGCTGCTACTGCTACACCACCCAGCAGGCCAGCAGCGCACAGCCGTCAGGCGTCAGCCACAACGACCGCTGCATCTCCGGCCGGCCGCCGGGGCGCCTCATGCCGGAGAAGCCTCCACCGCTCCGCCGCCGCCCGACGGCGGCGGGGAGCTGGGTCCGGTCCCTCCACTGCAAGTCCATGGCGGCCGACGACGTGGCCGCCAGAGTCGCGACGACGGCGCCCATCAAGAAGCTCCACCCGCTCCTCCCGCGCGCTGGCTGCGGGAGCTCCGGCGACACGCTCAACCACGTCGTCTCGTCCAAGCCCACCAGCAGGACCAAGCCCAAGCCCAAGCCGGGCACGAAGTCGAGTCCCGAACCGGCGAAGAAGAAGAAGACGACCAAGCCGAAGCCGGCGACGACTGTGCCGCCGTCGCCGCCGCCGGGGCCTCTCGGCCCGGTCCCGGCGCTCACCGAGCTCCCGGCGGGGCACTCGTCGCGGCAGGTGGTGGAGATCATCTTCCTCTCCTCGTGGTCGTCTCCGCTTCCGGTCCCGGTCCCACAACCTCCGCCTCCACCGGGACCGGGAGCGCCCACCCCTACCCCCACCACCAGCAGCAGCGGCGCGTTCCCGGGCGTGGTGGAGATGCTGTTCCGCGTGCACAACCCGGCGCGCGCCGTGGCGCGGTTCGAGGACTACCGCGCCGCGGTGCGCGCCCGGGCCGGCGGGGCCTCGCGCAGCGCCGCCGACGGCAACGAGATGATGCGCTTCTCCCCGGCGCCGCCGTACGTCGGCTCCTCGCCGTCCTCCTCGGCGGCTGCGGCGACGACGGGCGGCGAGGACGACGGCCCCCCGCGCATCCGGACGTTCGACGGCAGCGGCGGCGCGCACGCCAGCGCAGCGCGCGGGTCCCCCGCGACCAGCCGCCGCGCCATGTTCCTGTGCAGGGTCATCGCCGGCCGCGCGGCGGAGGCGGCGGCCGAGGGGACGGGCGCCCACCACGCGGCGGCCGGCAAGGACGAGCACTTCGACTCCGTCCGGGTCGGCAGGGGCGGCGAGCTGGTGGTGTTCGATCGGCGCGCCGTGCTCCCCTGCTTCCTCATCATCTACAAGCTGTAAAAAGAGATGAAAAAAAACATCGATGTCCATTAACCATGCTGCTAATTCTTTTCTCACTTGCCTGCTAAGAGAAAATCTTTTTAAATCACGCTCTATAAATCATCATTTGGAGAGTTATTTGCATAAAAATCGTTTTCTATATCTTTTCAGTCTCCAATAGTTTTTCTATATATCATGCGCTCTCTAGAGAGTCATTCTCGTCTTTTATTTTTGGCTACCGAAAAATTTGGAATAGAAGATAGCTATATTTGATAGCCATTTAGAAAAGCTGTTGGAGGATAGTTTTTTATCAAAATCTCTATTATTAACGTTTAGAAAGGACACGGAGAGCCTCTAAACCAGACAACTGCATACTACTGTAGGTGTGATAATCTCAGTACTTGCGTCCAATGCCGCAGTGCCCGTGCCTCTCTCGAAGAGTCGCAGTCGCAGCAGCCGCGCAATTGCAGACACTGTGCTCGTGCAGTCCCTGCGCGAGTTTAAGGCGCGCACAGGCACAGTGGCTGCGCATGTCCGCGGATTGCGTTCGTTCTTGCGCGCGCACCGTGCACTGCGACTGTGCGAGCGAGAGCACTGTGCTTATTACCTGGCGTTGTCGCGTTCGATGCGGGCAGCGGGCGGGAGGCTTCTGAGGCCTTCCGCCTCCGTGCCCCGCCGGAGCCAGAGACAAAAGGAATAGACAGCCGCGTTTAGAGGAAGGAAGCGTTCGGGTTTGGATTTGTCACTGCTCGCCTTCATTTCAGGCGTCGCCTTGCATCATGTGAGCGGTGAGCCACCCCATGCATATGCATGGAGCAGCAGCTTGCATGCAATGCCCACTACGGCAGCGCAGCGTCGTTTCATTTACATCGCTCCATATGACCCATGATCTTGTAGCAGGATACGGATGAAATTCAGATGGACTATAGGCTACCTGGAACTGGAACTGGAACTGGAAGGCTGGAAGCAAGATTTTGACGATCCTGTAGGCAGCGGGCAGCGCTTTCAGAGACGATCCAGTAGTCTCAGGATGTTGCCATATGGGTGTACTGCGGCTGTTTAGCCTGCTACAGATCTTGTGATATACGCGTATTATTGTCAGGTTGCTGCTTGCCATATGGGTGTCCATGGAAGAAGTATTGAAATAGATACGACTTGTCAGAGACTCGCGTTCGCGTATTGTCAGGCTGCTGTCTTTCTCTTTCAGAAACAGATCGCCTTTGCCGGGTTCAGAAATAGTTTTCGAACTGTTCTTCCAGTCGGATTGTATAAAGTACAGCAAGTAGTGTATGCTCCGCATGCTTATTGGCTTATTGCTCAACCTATGCCGCCTCCGCCTTTCCTTCAAAGGTAGCACAAGTACCAGGTACACAAGTATACTCCTAGCTCCCCGTTTTTCCATGAATAAAACACACACACACATAGTATTCTGTAGCTGTTGCTTCATACCGATCACGTTCTGCTGCCGCGCATCATCGCCGGCGTAGCTTTCTTTGTGGGCTTGCGATGATGAGCAAGCGCTTTTTACGTCCCCGAAAACGTTGAGCTTGACTGGAGTACAAGGTTCGTCGTGTTTGGATTGAGTTTAGGCAGCAGCAGCCCATTCGCTCACAGCCTCAGAATCATCTGCCCTGTTTTCAATCTGAAGCCAACTGGAACTTTCCATGTTTCATTTGAAGCACATCAATACACCATTTTCATAGGAAATGGATCAGTGCCCACGAGAATCATGAGCATTCCGATGATCCGAATGGTGTTACGTTGCTAGGAAACTAACATACCTGCAGTAGAAACTATGCTGAATAATCAAAACTGAATAATCAGATGTTAACTTACAAGAGCACCAGCAAGCATTCAGACCGTACACGCACTTTTCAGGCCTGTCCAAAGTTTGAATCCATTCTTCCAATCGCCGGCTGGTAGTCCTCAAACAATTCCCTTTCAGATAGTTTGTTCTCGCTTTCTAGTTCAACTGAATCTGCACAAGCAAAGGGGGGAATCCACGTATAAAGCACACCTGCACACACAAAAGCGCTTGGAAAGCTCAAACTTCTAAAGACCTCAAAAGGCAGGCAACCTGAACCCGAACGAGTAGCAAACTCAAGGTGCCATGACTCGCTCCAGTTTGCTTTGTGCTTGTGCGCCTCTTTGTTTCTTGAGCTAGCTGGGGACCGTAGAATGCAGCAGTCATTTGAAATGTCAGTTCCTGCTTAAATGTAGTATAGGGGAATATGTACAGCATAACTTTATACTGTGCAGTGGTAGATGTACGCAGTAGAGCTAGAGCAGTGGGTCCTACTTCTCCGGTCCCCTTCTTTCACCACTAGTGAATGATGGAATGCCCATCGGCAAATAGTTTACTTGCAACATGATGCCATCTTCTTGCTTGCATATATTAATCAGAGGACGACACAGAATCATAGGCAGATTAAACTGACAGGGTCGAGGCAACATTACTGCACCTGCAGTGGAAGAAGCCCCGGTTTGTTTAATCCTGAAGATAACAGAGTACAGAAGGCATCAATAGTCGAGCACATGAACCATGAATGGCCTTCAGTTCGGTCTAAGCTACAGGCCTACAGCAACTGCCGGCACTGTTCTTCACCTCGCCGGACGGTCTCTCCTCGCGTATCTGACCGAGAAAAAACTGAGCACATGAGCGGCCATGAGTTCATCGCATCGGCCCATCACGTGGTCATAGTAACTCCTCTTGGCCGATGTCAACCTGTTTCCCCTGCTGCATGGCTAAGTGGCAGGTTGAACTGATTACTCGTAGCTGGCTACTGACACGCAAATGATTTCCCCAAATTGAATAGTCTCTCCCTGTCAAGTGCCCTCCCAGCAAACCTGCAGCGACCTCATTTATTGGGCGGCTACAATTGTGATCTACAGTACTCTCTATTGTCTAGTAGTACGTACTGAACAAACATCCGCTAAACCTAACTGCTGAGCGAGCTCTGTGAGTAAACCGGTGGTTTTATTTCAGTGCTCGTTCGGTTATCACACATTTGTCTCCTGGAACAATTCCTAGCCGGATTGCTTCTCTAATTTATATAACCTCTCATCATCTGGAACCATTCCTGGGGCAATCCAGACTAACCGAACAGGGCCTCAGTCTTGCTGGAAAGCTGGTTTAGTTCTCCATTCAATTGCATTGACGCAAAGTGGTGCTGGCTGCGACAGGCCATGAGCTCTTGCTTGGCATCGGAGGAACAGAAAGAGATCAAGGCTTGTAAAGCAGGGCAAGGCTCAGGAGCTCTGCTTTGAGACCGGAGCAAGCATGATTGCTTGAGTTGGGCGGCCACTGACCACAGTCCTTATCAGAATACCAGTGGATAATGAAGGAATGTGTCCGTGTACTGCTACTGTCGCAACAAGCAGCTAGCTAGCTCGGCCCCGGCCTCGGCCTGGATGGAGATGGACCAAGGGTTTGGAGAACCCATCATGGCGACTTGTTTCGGAGTACAGCCCACACAGCGGTGCAGATCGTGTCCTGGAATTTTTATGGCTCAACAACTGCTCTGTACTACTCCCCGGGTTAATGGCACAGCTGCTTTCACTCGCTCTGCAAATAACCAAATATACTGAGTCTAAATAACCAAATATACTGAGTCTAAATAAATTGATTTAATCGCTGTGACATTTGCTACATCAGATCACAGTCCGACGAGCACTGATGTGGCTCATCTAGCTTACTGCTCAGGAGAGAATTCAAATGAACAGAGAAATCATTACAAAGTTTCAGTAGAGGTAAATGCACGTAATGTTCAGAAACGGAGCCTTTTGTTTTTTATATACTGTGACCCTCTTTGGTTCCTTGACTAACAACTAGTTAATTAAACTTTAGCCTTTGAGAATCCAAATAGGAGGACTAATGGGTGATCTAAAATTTAGACAAAGCCCTAATTAATTGTTAGTTCACTGGCCCATAGAACCTAACTATCAGGGGCTAACAACTAGTTCTAGTCTATAGAATCCAACAATTAGAGCATCACCGAGAGTTCCCTAAATCCCTTCCTAATCCTTGTTTTTTAACAAGACGAGAAAAATCTCCTCTTCAACAACTCCTAATCCATCCTCCTAATCTTTTAGAACTTGAGAAAAGTCACCTTGTTCCGCGTAAAGTTACGCGCTTTCGAGTGGCGCGTATTTTCTCTCTCCCGCGCATATTTGTCGGCCAATCTAAAGGTGAAAGGGCGTGGAAAGAATAAAGAGTAGGAAAAGGTTCATGATGTAAATATACAAGAGAGAAAAAATATATAAAAGTGTTTGAGATAATTTAAAAATAGTATATGATTCCTGATATAAAATTGTTTTCTATATTTTAGGAGTGGATTAGTAAAAACTCTTGGAGATGACGTTCTTTATTCCTTCCAATATTTTTTAGAGTAGTAAAACTTCATGTTTTAGGAAGAAAATATTAGGTACTCTTAGAGATACTCTTAGTTCAGGATCCAAACAGGTTGGACTAACAACTACTAAATATGTTCTAAATTATAGTTCGTTTGACTTTTTTGATCTTAAATTTGATCACTCGTCTTATTGAAAAAATTGTGCTAAATGTCACTTCTTTTATTGTGGCTTGCTTTCTTAACAAAAGATCTTCAAGAATGATTTAAATTTGACTATGTTTGCATAATTTTTTTAATACGACAAGCGGTCAAATTTAAGATTAAAAAGTCAAACGAATTATAATTTGGAACAAAGGAAGTAGTTGGCTAATTTCTAGCTGGCTACATATTTAGCTATGACTAACAACTAGTCCTAGTCCATTAAAATAGAACCTATATGTGATGAAAGTTAGAAGACTCAAAATGGTCGCAAAAGGTAAATTCCTACCCATCTAATCGTCACGTTCACTTACTGTCGACTGCTGATAACCTGATCGCACCCAGTTGCTTGGCCTTCAAATTCCATGCCCTTTGCAGAAAGGGACGTGCTGGCGTCCGGACATCCGACGGGATAGGATTCCATCGGACGGTATTTTTCCGCGCGCCTGCGCTACCTGCCTTGCCCGCGCC